TAAAAATTTAAACTTTGAGGCCTGAAAATGTGAATTTTTAGGGATATTTGCTGTAGACTTGAGACCGAATATAGCCCTTTGAGCAGGTCTAGATAAATCCCTGACACTATTGGGTTTTTAAATATTTCATGAATACTTGTACACTATAGCAACTGAAAAACAGTTGGGTAATGGCAACACTGTTTTGTGTAGTTATGCAGATATGCTGCTTATCAGGGTATATTGCACCTCCACTGTTGTCTAGCCTCAGCAATATCACATATACCCATGACCAATGTGACATGGAGTGTGTTGGAAGAGTAACCATGGTAACAATGGATGAGATGAGGTGAGGCGAAAGGTGGTTTAACGTTGCTTTAATGAGTATTGCTTTTACATAAATGCAATGTGCCAGCCAGCAAGCCTATCTGTCCATTTGTCCATCTGTCATGTCAGTGGAGTAAGTGAGTATGTTTTACGCCGCTTTTAGCAATATTCCAGCAATATCACGGCTGGAGACACCAGAAATGGGTTTCACACAATGTATCCATGTCGGGAATCGAACCCGGGTCTTCGGCGTGATGAGCAAACGCTTTAACTGCTAGGCTACTCGACTACCCCTCATACATATTATAAATACAAATAGAATAAGGGGGAAGACAAATATCGGGTCGTAAATAGCGATGTGCATGCAAGTCTGTGTCTGTGAGTGTGAGTATGTGTGTGTGTCTAACTGTGTGTATGTGTTTGTCCCTGTGTGTGTGTGCGTGTGTGTGTGTGTCTCTGCTTGTACTAGCTCCGTTTCTCTGTGTGTGTGTCTGTGTGTATGTGTTTGTCCCTGTGTGTGTCTGTCTGTATGTGTCTGCTTGTAATAGTGAGTGAGTGAGTGAGTATGGTTTTACGCCGCTTTTAGCAATATTCCAGCAATATCACGGCGGGGGACACCAGAAATGGGCTTCACACATTGTACCCATGTCAGGAATCGAACCCGTACCTTCGGCATGACGAGCGAACGCTTTAACCACTAGGCTACCCAACTGCCCCTCTGCTTGTAATAGCCCCGTGTGTCTGTCTGTCTGTCTGTCTGTGTCTGCTTGTACTAGCTCTGTGTATGTGTGTGTGTGTGTGTGTGTCGGTCTGTCTGTATGTGTCTGCTTGTACTAGCCTTGAGTGTCTGTATGTGTGTGTGTGTGTGTGTGTGTGTGTGTGTGTGTGTGTCTGTCTGTGTGTATGTGTTTGTGTCTGTTTGTACTATTGTACTAGCCAAGACTTATGCTGCTTTTATAGTGTTAGCCCACTGAGATACCATGCCACAGTTTAACATGAATAACCCACTCAGACACAATATACTCACTCCGAGCTGACCAGTCCTTGTTTTAGCCTCTTAATGCCGAGTACCAGGTTGGTAATATATTGTCCCGGACATTATCACGGAAACTAATATTTGTCATTTTCATGAGAGCCCTCTTATTGTTAATGTAAACTTCTGCCAGCTCCTTAAATACAAGGCCGGTCATGATGTTATGACAGCCCATATCTCAGGTAGATCATGTACACATAAAATTGTTTGCTTATTATTTGAGGCATCTTCCCGAGGCAAGGGCCCTAACTGACTGTAAAAGTCCAGTTTCCACCCTTGCCGAACTAGGCTGGAATTTCCAGACACGATCGTAGTGCAAAGGTTGACTGGAAGTGATATGTTCTGAGACTTTCATTGAGTGAGTGAGTTGGGTTTAACGCCACTTTGAACAGTATTCCACTTACATCACGGCCTGACAGCTTAATGTGAGGGAGGAAAGCCCAAAGGGATCTAGGTCTTAGACGTTTACGACTTTGGTGAAACCCACAAGCACGAGCGTGGTGCAGACGAACCTAGAAACATAATCGGGGTGAACCCGAATTCAAACCCACAACCAAAATTTTCTGGCATGCCCAAGAGACGCAACTCTGCACAGCGAATACAGGAGCGTTTAATAGACAACTGTGCCACCCGTACCCAATTACATGCCTAATGGGGATTTATTAGTCAGTTTAGACTTCAGGTGTTGAGTCGATTCTTACAAAAAATATACATGAGGTATGAATAGCTAGGACTGAATTTTTGCCTAGTCATCTGCACATTTCCATACACTCATTAACCAGGGATTCTAAACTAACCACTAACTCAAAATCGGAATTTTGTTTAAGTTCTTATTTTTTAGGTATTTCAGCCTTAGAAATCGGCACTTGTCCTGTAGTCCTTGCCAAACTGCCCAGTAGTTAGGTATCATAAGGACTAGTAGAAATTTGCCATTTTTAAGAGTTTTGCTATATGTTGTCATTATGAGGAGTAGTGGACTAAAACTGTTAGTTTCTACTATTGCATTTTCACAACATTGTATTAACATTGCATTAAATTCGAGAACACCAAATTTAAGCTTTCAAGCCTCTTCCTTATTATGATCAGAAAATACAAGTCACCTCCCCTCAGCCATCACAATAGTTAGCACCATATTAACATGCAGGGTTCACTCTAGGAAGTGTCTGACATGGGCCCTTCATGTGAAAATTTCAAATATTCCAGAGGTACACCCACACTTGCCGATACAGCACAATGTTAAAATGCAATGTATTTGAAAATGTGGGCCTTTTTCCAAATTTAGGGCTATAGGCACAAGGCCCCACCCTACAATTATCCCTGAACATGAATTAGGGAAAATTCTTATTTCCCATGAGGGAATATACTGACATTTAGGCCTGAATATCGCCCTCTGAATAGGTGTTCATAATTTCCCATTTAAATTCTCAGGACCCATTAAATTCTGAATAACAAAATAATCCAGAAAATTTATTATCCAGATTACAGGGGTTTCAGCCTAACTACTGATCAGAGGGACCGGAGTAACGAGTTTCACTATTGATGTTTTAAGTGAGTTTTTAATAATCTACATTAACTGCAAAATGATTGTCATTGTGATAAATTTAAATACAGGACATTACAAAACAACCATTGGCGCTAGTAGAACATATTAACTATCTGTCTATTATCAATGGTTATCATGGTTATAGCAAATAACACTACCAGTACCAACAAACAAATGCTGAGATTTGCTCTTACATGGGTGGAGGTAAAGAGAATTAGGACATTTCATGTTGTTTGTTGCCTAATGACGTCACAGCGCTTCAAACATACAATATGACGCTATGCATTGTTCATGACGTACACACTGATTACATTATGTCATATGAACAATAGGTTGCCTTCGGTGAATTTTTTTTTTTTTTTTTTTTGTGCGTCTTTTTTGTGTGTATATTTCTCTCTTTATATATCAATGAATAATAAATAGAATAAGCTCCTGGAAACTGGGGACTACCGAGTATATGTTTGTTTGTTTGTTGTTTAATGCCACGCTCAGCAATATTCCAGCCATATGACCGCAGTCTGTTTATAATCATGTCTGGACCAGACAATCCAGTGATCGACATCATGAGCATCCATTCACGCAATTGGGATACGATGACATGCGTCAAGCAAGCCAGCGAGCGTGTCCATCCAAGCCTGACCACTTTATCCAACAGATGGGTTTGCTGAAGACTAATTCCAATCTGGATATTCACTGGGAAGGACACTTCATGATTTTATCAACCTTTGAAGGAACATTATGCAGTATCGTTATCAAATTTGAAAAATCACATTTTGATTGGCAACCCATCAATCTCCATGAAATAACACTGATCTGAAACGGTGTTACCATGGTTACTACCCTCAATAGAACTGTACACACAAATCAATTATATTTAGCACGTTTTTAGTTCTCAGGTTGTAAACAAGGTAAAGGGATGTCTATACAGGAGGAATTGAATTATAATTCCTTTTCAAGCGGAAAACTTATGCATGCTGAAAAGATTTTAAATCAATAAATCTGTTTTGTTCTTGCAAAAACGGTAAAAGATGAGTATCATCTGCTATTTAAAGGTAAAATAAAACATATTAGGCTATGCATTTTGTTATGGCATCCTGTCATCGTAAATAAGATAGCAAAAATAGTGTGAAATGCTCCATAGAATGACAGCCATGGTAATCTGAAGTGTGAAATGTTATCACATAATCACTGCATAACATACTGTTGCAACAGAATATTCAGGTCATGTGATATCCAGAACTCTAACTGACAGGAGTTGGCAATGCTCTTGAGTTCCAGGTAAATACCATTAGCAGGCAAATTGGGAAACAACCACTGTGCAAGACTACAAATTTGTATCTAACTTTGCATCTATTACAATAATTGGGAGTAGTGCACTTTACAGGGCACACTTTTTCAGATCCAATTTGCACTGTGGGGGCTCACCGGCTCTGCTAATTAATGCATTAATCACGTTAATTAGCCGACGCTCTACCACTGGACCATGTAATCAGTTAAATTCTGGAAAAATATATCTGTCGTATATAAACATTTCAAGCTGTCAGCATAAACCGCGAAAGTTATCTTTCAACTGTTTTTTTCCCACCAAAATAATATTCTAATAAGAGCCCCCTATTTCTAATTTTGAGATCGCCCTGGGCGCTTATTACGTTGAATAAGGTACTTAATATGGCCTGGCATATTTGAAATACCTTTCCAATCATGACAACTTCCTAAAAGTGTAACCAGGTAGGTCTAACCATGATTCGAAGCATGCAAAGTGACATTAAAGTAAACATTCTAATCTAATAGCACATAACTGACATTAGTCCCGCCAATCTACGGCATTGAAAAAAATCAGTCCATACTCAATAACAATGATGCATAAATGACAGATCAAAATCTTACCAAGAATAGAACTTAGTCACCTTTGACATTCCATGAAAAAATTGCCCAACATTCGACTGAATGTATACAGTTATTATGCAATGTTTGTCTCTTTCTTCTGCATAAGAAAGAGGAAACTACATTTTCTCAAAATAACTCAAAATCATTTTTTTGGGCAGAGAGGATGACCATTATTCAAATTCTGGCACCAAGTTAAATCGAGGAATAGAACTTAGAAGTTTCGTCTCGCACCTGTTCCTTCTGGCCTGCTCCCTTGGCTTTTGATCCACATCAACTGTCGAGTTTCTAGTTTGATCCGCAAGGTTCTTCTTTCTGGTTTCTTTCGATAAAAGAAGACGGTAGCGACCAGACCCCTTTCAATTGGCCGCAACACTTCCACAACATCGGGGCCAGGCAACCCACCGTTTGTGATGGGGGCGGCCATCTTTGATTCTCTGCTCCTGTTCTGTAAATACTGCTCCCCGGCCGACTAATGTCGTTTCATATTGTACGCCTGTCGCGCATAAGTGTTTGGTTACATCGGAGTTGACGACAACGGAGATAGGTTGCTAATGGTATGTAATATTCACGTCCGCACGAATATAATGATTTACGGAATTAAATCCGGGACTAGTGCAGACGGGACCAGTAGCTCTAACGTAGTATTATCCTCATGAAATGTCACATGCTTCTACAGTGTTTGGACAATAATTCGAATATTTCTGTACGTAAGCGTACTGTATTCAAGGCTTCAGTAAAGCTTTCACGTCGAGGAAAATTCTCGATGTGACACATCAGTGACAAAAATATTATATCCAATGCAATTCATTATTATGCCATGATGATCCCATGTTGTTTTTTTTCAATTTTGAACAATTGACTTTTCTTTGCATGTGTTTGTGACGGGTGCCACTAGTGGGGCAGGATACGCTCGCCTTTTCGCGAACACCTGGTAACATCACTATTTGAGAGTGATTCATAAACACATGCTTATGATAAAGTTATGATTATAATAATGGATTCTGCTTTTGGAGAGTTCTTCCGATTATGGAAATGTTTTTGCACATATAAAGTTCTCACGTTAACTCACCACGTCATTCTTTGTATGATGACGTCATATTATAATAATGCTGGATGACGTCATCAGTGACGTTTGTTATATACATTTGTATTATTACCCATAGCGATTATGATTTTTACTTCCCGCTGATTGTCTCGTTCGTTACAACTGACAAATATGTGCCACTGTTTTCATTGTTTGCAAAGCGTCTCATAGCAACGTAACGTCATATGAACACATTGTCGCAAATGTTGAAGATGTTGTTATTCATTGTTCATAACGCCACAAACGATTTTATGTGACGTTAGTCCAACAATAGTCTATAGATGATGTCTTTACTAGAGGTCAAGAAACCCAGTTTTTTTCTTCATTTTCTCAGAGAAAAAGATTATTGGTTGCATAAAGAATAATCTGCTCGCATCTCGGAATTACGAATCATATATCCCTCTTGAAATAATGTTGAGTGAGTATGGTTTTACGCCGCTTTTAGCAATATTCCAGCAATATCACGGCGGGGGACACCAGAAATGGGCTTCACACATTGTACCCATGTCAGGAATCGAACCCGGGTCTTCGGCGTGACGAGCGAACGCTTTAACCACTAGGCTACCCGAAGTTGATTACAAACTTAATACACTCGAGAAATACAATCCGTGTTTCTTCAGTACGTGTTGTTTTTTGTTTGATTGAAGGATTTGACTATATTTCTAAGTTGTTGTTTTTTTAAATGTCTTCGATTTTGTTGATGCATGTCATCGTATCCCAATTGCGTCGATCAATGCTCATGATGTCAATCACTGGATTGTCTGGTACCTAACATTTTTATACATTTCTCAAGGTGACCGGGCGTTAACGTATATATTAACACTATATTAAACTCAGCTTGGGATATGTTGACAGTCAACAAGAATAATACGATTATTTGCGTTCATGTAAGTACACTGAACACAAAAGTTAGGAATCATGAAATATTTATATGTCCCATACTTCCCTATTCTGTCTATACGTAAGATCCGTCGACGTAAGGAGGTGTTAATTGACATTTATAGATAGCGCTGGAGATTCTGCCCGTCGGGGCTCTGCTGAATATATTAAACAGACAAAGGGCATAGAAATTCGGTGCACTCGGAAACATATTGAACTAATTAGGTATTAAAGACAAATGGAGTTTTAAATAAAAATATTGAAATGGTTTGCACTATAACAATTTGTTTTCTAATCTAATAGATTTCTGGAATGAGGGACCGGCTGCTTGCTATTCCACTGGCACTCATGTTGACAAGCGGTATAGAGGTGGGTGGCGAGCTCGAGTATCTACAGCATAGGAATGCATTACACGCAATGTGTATCATAAAAACTCTTCGACTTAATCAAACATCCGCGTACGGTTGGTTCACCTGATGGAATGACACTCACAGCGGCAAACAGTCAATTTATTACCCGTTTCCTGCCCATCCCAGTCACGTACATGTACCAAGTTAAGATACGTCTGTGTAGTGGCAGAACAACCTTCTATATAAGTGCTCGGTTGTCTTAGACGCCGCAATTCGCTGTGCGGAGTTGCGTCCCTTGTGCGTGCAAGAAACCTGTGTTTGTTTGTTTGTTTGTTGTTTAAAGCCGCACTCAGCAATATTCCAGCTATATGACGACGGTCTGTAAATAATCGAGTCTAGACCGACAATCCAGTGATTGACATTAAAAGTATCGAGCCACGTATTTGGGATACGATTACATGTCAGCAAGAATGACCACCCGATCCCGTTAGTCGCCTCTTACGGCAAGTATGGGTTGCTGAAGACCTATTCTAACCCGGATCTTCACGGATAAGAAACTTGTGTTAGTGGGTTCGAATCCCAGATTCTCCCCAAATATGATTCGAGGTTTGTCGGCACCATACTGTGTTTGTAGATTTCAATGGTGAACGTGACCCGTGAAGATTCCGGGGTAGAATAGGTCTTCAGCAACCCATACTTGCCGTAAAAGGTGACTATGCTTGTCGTAAAAGGCGACTAACGGGATCGGGTGGTCAGGCTCGCTGACTTGGTTGATACATGTCATCGATCCTAATTGCGTGGATCGATGCTCATGATGTCAATCACTGGATTGTCTGGTCCAGACTCGATTATTTTACAGACCGCCGTCATATAGCTGGAATATTGCTGACAACATTAAACAACAAACAAACAAACAAACAAAACAAACAATGGTGAACGTCAATAAGACGTGCATCAATCACTTCGGGCATTCCGCCTCCCATCAAGCTGAAACGCCGTGGTATAAACTGGAATACTTTTCAGCGAAAACCAAACTCACTTAAAGCTATCTAATTTAATAGCACTTCAGAATTGAATCAATAATTGCTTTGAGTTATTAGAACAGACTAAAAAGTATAACGTATTTTTAAAAATATTATTTAATTTTTACTCCGCGTAATTGTTGATTAGAGCCCACTGGTTTTTTTTATTGTGATTGTATGATTACACAAATATGTGTAAACATATATGATTCCGCGTCGGTTATGTGTGAACGGTTAAAATACCACATTATCAGTCAAACCAAACCCCGACTCAATCAATTGAAACAAAGTCTGAGGTAGTTCTACGGAAAGTAGTACCTAACTTATATCTATCGCTACAGGAAATCTTATTGAAGTGGTGAATTGTTCGACTGTTGTGATAAAGTCCTGTCAATATTCCGTGTGCGAGAAGCTCAATTTTCGATGCATTTGTAGCATACAGGAAACTATCTGAAGTGATTTCCCGGAGAAAAGTGGTGGAAGGGACATAACTCTTGAAACACTCGAGATCTGGGGACAGCATTGTTTCAATAAGCTATAGTGAAACCCTGTTATTTAGGACACCCAGCATAACGGACGACGCTACACAGTCCGGATAATGGGGGTTTCACAGCTTTTCGGGAAAGGGTGGCGGTTAGGTGGGTGGGCGTTGCAGACTATTTTTAAAAAAGATGGGATCATTTACAATAAAACAAATAAATAATGGGGATGGTCGGCTGTTAAAACTGCCTTCTGCCTCAGCAATTTTGGCTGACCTGACCCTCTTTGGGACTCGTGTGTGAGTAGGCATTATATCTTGTTTTAGTATTGATAAAATGTTTGTTTTTGAATTTATAAGATTTCTACTTTCGTATTGATATGATATTAGTTTTGAGTTTTAGAAATTGATAGAATGCCTTTGGCTGCTCTGTTTATATGTGTTCAAGAAGATGACCATCTCTCTCTTGAGTTCAGGAGATCTGAGACTGATGGCGGATGTGACTGTAGTTCTTGTTTTAACAGAACCCGGGCTGGGGCGTGGTCTTGACATTCCAGTAACACGTGAGCAATGGATTCAGGTTGATTGCAAGATGGGCATACTTTGTCATTGTGCTTCTTATGACCGAGTCTGAGGCGTGAGATGGCTACTTCAACTTTCCTTACATTTGAGTATGAGGATGGCTTTTTCTTGATCTTGGTTGAATTTTGTATAGGTACTTATATATCTTCTGTATATCTTACTTGCATCCATCCCACTGGGCTTGCCATGTTTGGGCTATGGAGGCTTTGATTTCGCTTTTTTATCTCTTGTCTGCTGAAGAGAATCGGCTGTATCTCTGCTTTGTCTAAAGCTAGCTTCGCTAGTGTGTCTGCTTTTTTTCATTATTATGAATATCTATGTGAGACGGGATCCCAAACAGATCCACCTGTTGCCCTTTGTCCGATAGTTTTGTATATTCGTACAGAATATAATTGACTGTGTTTCGGCGCGAGTTGCTACTGATGGGACGACTGCCTTGGCTTCCGGTAGTTCCGGTACGAGTATGAGTGCATGGCGACTTGCCTCCAATTCAGCCGGAATACTGACAGACCGTCAGGCAGGCGAACCGAATGTGCTTGGGGTTTGGAGCTGTGGATATGGATCCCGTAACCAACAGTGTTGCTGATAGGATTCTTGGACCCACCAGTGTATATATGGGCCCAGCTGTCCCAGGACGTTTGACTTTTTATGTGATAGCTACTGATCGTAGTTGGGTGGGGTTTTCCTTTTCAGTGACTTCTGATGTGAAACCAGTGTCAAATTTGGGAGTGTTTAAAGTCCAGGGAGGGTGTAACCCTTATGGTGACTTTCTGGTGGCTGATCAGTGTTATCATAATTGTGACTTCGGACGAGTTCACGTACCAATATCCCAGATTGTTTCATTGAGGGATTTTCCCGAGCTATGGCTTCATGTCGTGTGTTTTAGTTTTGCCAAATCTTTTTCACCAAAGGGTTTGATGTTCGTCCCCAGAGGGATAATATTGCCTGCTCTCTTCTTAGTTTCAATGGGAGTTCTCCTGTGTCCTAGTGATCGATCGAGGTACCTGTTGCCTCACCTGCGTTAGGGATTTGTATTGTATTCTGTCGAGGAGGCTCACGACAGTATTTGATGCTGAGTGAAAGGCCTCACAACCATAGTCTATTTTTGAGTGAGTGAGTGAGTGAGTATGGTTTTACGCCGCTTTTAGCAATATTCC